GCACGCACGCACGCACGCACGCACGCACGCACGCACGCACGCACATGTGTACTACATACTACTACTACTACTATATACTACAGCAGAAGTGCAGAATGCGAGCAGCGCGTTCGCGGCGCATTTACCAATCAGTGAGAGGTATTTGTATGTAAGTTTTTCAATACAAGAAGAATTATTTATTTTTCCTAAGTTGTTTGATATCTATAAAAATGCTGTATTTTCATTAATAAGCATTTTTACACAAAGTTTGGCTATTTTGGACGAAATTTAGAAGTTTCTGTGATTACGAGTGTAATTTTAAAACTTTCAAAAGCTCATCGACTTTAACAACTAACAAACGACGATCATGGATATTATTTATGTGTCTCCTGAATATCATTAAGTTTCATAGGGTAACATACAAACCATCATCAAACGTACTCGTATGTCAGTATGTGTCAGCTACACCAATTGCCTGGCTTCAAATCAGAGAGTTCCCTGAATATCAGAGCAATGGAATTAATTCTGATGAACTTCCGAGAACACACGGAACTTTTGTCAATCAAGAAAAGTTAATTTCCCAAATTGGTCCTACCAGGAATCGAACCTACAACCTCCTCATCCAGCGCCCATAGTGCGAACCGTTGTGCCACCGAGATCGTCTGGCATGGGCCTGGCACAAACATATCTCAGTCCAAGAAGTCAGCTCTATGTGATAAAAAACGTTTAAGTATAATAGATAGGCACTTACCGCACTTTCCGTGATACTTGATAGTAATATTAATCTGGTTGTCACAAGCGTGCTTATCCAAATGGCAAGCTGATGGATATTCCTTGCCATCAGTCCCACACACTGGCTTCCGCCTTTGGCAACTTCTTGGACATCGGCATTCCGTCTGACCGTATGTGACAATACACCGAGCTCCGGCTTGACAGCTCATTGAAGAACACGGATCCCCGGTTTCTAAAAAAAAATCATGACTTTAGAGCCTATGCACACGGTGTATTTTTTATACGCAAACATGACGCGCTTCACGCGCGCCGAAGTAGCTCAAAAAGCGTTTAGTTGCGTTTGTATTGAGTCTAACGCGCGTACCAAAGTTTACTCTTTTGAATCAATTCAACAACAACAACATCGCGTTAAAATGCTGAAGAAAGGGGCTGGGAAGGGTCGCGTGCTCACGCCACTGCGCCGCTCCGCCACCCTCAGTCATCTGTATCGCCTACGCGCAGATAACGGGCGTTTCACAAGCATCCATTTTAAGCTCCACTGAACGTTTGCAAAGGTGCGACTGAATTGCGTTAACGCGCGTCATCTGCTCGTAAAAAATTCGCAGTATGCACAAGCTCTTAGACGCAAAAGGCAAAAAATTTTGTTACTCATGAATAATAAAAAAATTGCTGAAATAATTTATTATTATGAAAATATATTTATAGGGAAAACAAGATAAGCGATTATGTGTAGTTTAGTATACGGGTTTTGTTTACTGACAATGGAAACGTTATTATGTTAGTTTGTTCTGGGCGACATTTTACAAACCCCAATTAAACTGATGATGTGTGAACGGAAACATAATATGTATAAATTGACAATAACACATTTTCTCCTACGTGGCTTTCATAAAATTTGTCCTTGTAGACCGATTCACATCAATCATACTAATATATTATTTATGTTTTTAACCAGTAGTTATTGAAAAAAGAAAATAAAAAGTGCGATTAAGTTTTGACAGGTCCGCCCAGGAAGCTGTCGTCTGAATGACATACTTTCGAAATAAAAACCGGTTTTGTCTTTTTATCCAAGCACTATCTATTTGGGCATATGACATTACCATTTTACTGTCAACGTCAACTTTAGTCTTTGTAACTCATGGACCTATAGGTCCATGTTGTAACCATCTTAGTTCTTTTTTTTAAATAAAAGGATATTTATTTTCTCTCCTCTCCCCTCTTGGATCTCACCTAAACTGGTCGTGTGAAATATAGTCGTTTTTATTGTTAAATAAATTAAATTTCTGTTACCGTAAAATCGTTGCATATATTAGGAGTGCATAAACAATTAAAGACAGAGAACGAACTTGCTGGGACACCGTAACATTTATGCGCGAAAACTGTGAGTACCCTACACTGACCAATAACTTAAGTGTAAGTGAACCAAAGTACTCATCCCAAGTGCTTAATAACACCGGCAGGAAAGGGATAACAATATTGCACTCAAACACCACCTTTACACAGGCACGTAACAATATCGGAAGTTCAAGTAAGATTGGACGGAAAGCAGATTTGTACCAAATCGTCGATACCATCCAGATTACGCTGACCCGTGAACTCATAGGTAAAGTCGTTAGTTACGTTGAACTTATAATACCCTGGTACTTGAGTCAATAACGCAGACCGTTGAACAACGAACTAATAATGCCGCTAAAGAGAACTCCACCGCCTAATTCACATAGTGCGTCATCCCCAATTACGACTACGTCTCCCCGTGCGGGATCGGAGCCGAATCTATCGAGCATTAACAATCCGCGCGATTCCAACAACTTGAGTGTCAGTCAACGTCTCCCAAAACGGAAAAGACAGTGCGAGTGTGACATTGACTGCCTTGAAGGTAACTTGGAAAAAATGTTTGATAGTAAGATGTCTATTGTATTAAAATCCATTGATGAATTAAAATCACAAAACTCAACTATAACAGATTCCATTGAATTCGTCACAAAGCAATATGACACAATAATGCTTGAACTTCAATCTCTACGAGAAGAACGTCGTGAAAATATAAAGTACATCCAACAATTAGAGACAAAAATTGAAAATCTAGAGCGTAAATACAAATCCAGTTCTTTGGAAATAAAAAATGTACCAAAAGATGGACCTGAAACAAAGGAAGACTTAGTTAACATAGTAATTAAAACTGGAAATCTTTTAAGTGCGCCTATCCAGCCTGGTGACGTTCGTGATATATTTCGGATAAACACAAAAAATGAATCAAACAAACCTATTGTGGTCGAATTAAATAGTGTGTTGGTAAGAGACAAATTTCTCCATAAAATCAAGGAGTACAATATCAATAACCCGAGTCGCAAATTCTCCACCAAACATCTAAATTATAGTGGTGAAGAAAAACAAATCTATATCTCCGAAAGTCTCACTTTGAAAACTAGAAAGCTTTTCTTCTCGTCACGTGAATTTGCTAAGGAGAATGGATACGACTTCTGCTGGGTAAATCATGGAATTGTCTATTTGCGGAAAACAAATGGCTCTCGATATATCCGGATTGAGAATGAAGAAGATCTGAAAAACTTGAAAAAGTGACTAGTTTTTCAAAATTTTTTACTTATGTTAGGAAATATCTCTTGTTTAGTACTTATATACTTCTTAGGTAATTTTTTTGTTAAAAGCATTATATCGTATTATTATAAATTAATTGTTAAGATCGCTTACTTGATACAGAGAAGAAATTGTATTACTGAACAGGACGACACCAGCATTATACTCTATTGTACAACTAATATCAATGCACTGCTAATAACTGACGTACCTCAACATTTGATAAGACCACAATCACAATTACATTTATGCACGAACAAACAAATTAACAACATAAATACACGGTTCTTAAACTTTGTTAAAATATACGGTAATTATACACGCAACACATTCAAATATTTATATGTTTCTAACTATATAACGTTCATTTACAATATGCTAACAGTGAACTGTTACCTTACAACTAAATTTTACTTAATAACATCCAAAAGTGGATAAAACAAATCAAATATCGGAAGAACTTGAAAATATTCTGGACTTTAAAGTAATTCAATGTGATGTTGAGGAAGTTAAGAAAAATGCCTTCCCCTCACAGTTCTGCTTATCTATTATTACTCAAAATATTCGTAGCATAAATTGTAACTTTCTCAATTTAGAAACACTTCTACATAGGATTGGAATTAATTTTGATATCATATTGCTAACAGAGTGCTGGCTTCAGTCGTCACCGGTTATTCCAAACCTTGCTGGTTATTCGGGTATTGCAACAAAAAATAATAATAATCAAAATGATGGTGTTGTTATTTATATAAACAATGAAATCCCTTACTCAGTTTCAGAACCAGAATTTAATCATGGAAATTGTTTACTGGTAAAAATTAGAAATGACACTGTAATCGTAGGTTTGTATAGGTCGCCATCTTTTAGTAGTATTGATGAATTCCTTATTTCTCTAAATAAATTATTAACTACCATAGCATACTTTAAAAATATTATTTTGATTGGAGATATCAACATAGCAATTAACCTAGAAAAGAGGGATGGTGCTTCAGAAAAATACCTGAACTTAGCAGCATATCATGGACTTCTACCGTCACATACATCGATAACACGTGATTTAAGTAGTACGTGTATCGACCACGTGATAGTGAAAACAACAAAAATGTTTAGAACAGTCATTCCAGAATCCTCCATAACGGATCACAAGGCTGTTTTGTTCTTTCTCCATCACAAAAAAATATTCATTACTCCACCTAAGTATCATAAGAAATTAAATTATCCTGGACTTGAAGATGACATTTCAAATATTGCATTGAATCCAATATATCAATCTAATGATCCTAACTTCTGTATTAATTACCTCATTAAAAACTTGCAAACGGCATTAAACAAAAATACCGTAATCACGAAAGTTTCAAGACGAAAAAGATTAATAAAACCATGGTTAACTCAGGGACTACTAAGGTGCATGAGACATAGAGATCGATTACATAAAAAATCAAAACGTATGCCAGAAAACGAAGAATTAAAGATAACCTATACTCGCTATAGAAATTTTTGTAATGCTTTATTAAAAAAGATAAAAAGAGCCTATGATCGTGAACAAGTAAATAAAGCAGGCAACAATAACAAAAAATTATGGGATGCAATCAAAAATATAACTAATACAAACAAAACAACAGAATATCCTAAGGAACTTTTGAACATCTCAAGCACACCTGAAAAATCTGTTAATGTAATAAATGATTGTTTTGCAAGTGTGGGTAGTGAATTAGCGCAAGCAATACTCTTAACTAGTAATGTGAAAAATGACTGTACAGCTGGAGCATATATGGCATCCCCGAAAAACTCTCTTGTTTTGCTGGAAACAGATGTGAATGAAGTTAAACGGTTAACATTAAGTTTAAAAACAAATTGTTCTGTCGGTTGGGATGGTATTTCTAACAAGTTGCTAAAAGACTTTATACATATTTTGGCTCCGCCTCTTGCTTATATTTTCAATATATGCTTACAGTATGGCATATTCCCGAGAGCACTTAAAAAAGCAGTCATTCGCCCGATACATAAGGGAGGTAACAAGGATGTTATAAGTAATTATCGGCCTATTTCAATTTTACCGGCTCTATCCAAAATTCTAGAAAAGATTATTAATATTAGACTAGTGAACTTTTTAGAAAAGTCAGGCTTTTTAGTACACACTCAGTATGGTTTTAGAAGTGGTAAGGCTACTGATGATGCAGTCCATGAGTTAACAGAATATATTCAAAGGAATCTGGACACTGGTAACAAATGCCTTGCCATTTTCTTAGACCTGGCAAAGGCATTTGATACTGTATCGGTCCCACTATTATTGAAAAAACTAGATAAGGCAGGTGTAAGGGGATTGCAGTGGAAGTTACTGGAGGATTACCTTAGTGATCGTCTCCAATGCGTTCAAGTGGGTAATTATACAAGCTTAGATCTGTCAGTTTCCTATGGCGTTCCACAGGGCAGTATTTTAGGTCCAACTCTCTTCCTTCTGTATGTTAACGACATTGGTCAAAATATATCACCGGAATCTGGGCGGTTAATATCCTATGCGGACGATACTGTACTTATGTTCGCTGATAAAACTTGGGCTAAGACGTACGACCTGGCACAAAAGGGACTTAATAATGTTACAAAATGGTTACGCAATAATGTTTTAACTCTGAACGCCGAAAAAACACAATACATCTGTTTCTCCATTCGTAACCCCAGCAAAATTCCTAACGATCTATGTATTAAGGCACATACATCCTTACATGATAATAACGGAAAATGTAATTGTAGTATCTTGAAGCAGGTTGAAGTGGTTAAATACCTGGGAGTATTTCTTGACCAAAATTTGAGTTTTAAAAATCATATAAAAATTTTGAGCGGTAAAATTCGAAAGCTTATTTATATATTTAAACATTTAAGACATGCTGTAAACTATAAAATTCTGAAACAAGTCTACTTTGCTCTATGTCAATCATTGATAACACATTGTATTTCTGTTTGGGGAACTGCTAATAGAACGACTTTGATGCCCATTGAAGTAGCCCAGCGTGCCGTACTTAAAGTAAGCACTTTTTGTCCTTATTATTTTTCAACTGCAGCCCTCTATGAAAAATGTGAAGTGTTGACTGTTAGGCAATTGGCTGTACTTTCACTTATACTCAAACAGCACAAAAAACTTGTGTATGATCCCAAAATTGAAGACAAGCGCAGAAATCATAAAGTTTGTACACAATCTCGCCGTTTTCGAACCACATTTGCACAAAAATCATATGCTTTTCTGGGACCACATTTGTATAACAAAGTAAATAAGATAATTGGAATATATAATTTAAACAATAATAAATGTAAATGCGTTCTTAAAAAATGGCTCCAAACTTTGTCTTATAACGATACTGAAGACCTTTTGAGTGTCGTCTCATAAATAATTTTTATTCAACATTATTGTATATATTTAGCATTATTGTACAATGTTACACCTACAAAAATTACTGTACACGTAACTAATTAGTTGTTCTGAGACTCTGTGGATTGAGAAGCGACATAAATATTCTAAATTGGTGATTATAGCGTATTTTACACCTTGTAATATTTTCTTTCTTGTACTTGTATTACTGAGAGGTGGGAACCTGGTGGCCTGACGCACAGGCATTTTTATGCTTAGTTTAGGCATCAGTCTCCCACAAAATTATTGTTCTTAAAAATTAAACTTGTGAACTAATCTTTAGCTATATTTTGTGGAAGAAAAATAAACTTTATTATTATTATTATTATTATATTTTCTACTTGTGAAGTAAAACAACTTTTAAGTAATTTTGAAACAAAATAGCTACCCACACAACCGAATTTAAGTAGATAACTTTTTAATAGATTTCAAAAACTTCACTCTATACTACAACTCAGAATAATTAAATTTCACCCTGTAAATACGCATTTTCTGTATGTATACCGTAACATTTTCTATTGTTCTTCAAGAGCTCATAAACAAACTCGGATTACTCCGTCGAGGGCCGTCGACGATGTAGCTTTCAACATTTGTTTTAGAGACTCCTTGTAAAATGGGCGCAAAATGTTGTTACTGGGATGTCATTACCTTCAAATGTCATATAAAACCTAGAAATACAGTATTCAAACAGAATAGAAAACATGCATTTACATGTTTATATGTCTATCGTAAACTGTTAAAGTCACTAAGTGTAATTTTGAAAATACAGTAGTACATGCAGTACTATTTTCTAAGTCCTTACAGAAATTTACGTATGCACGTAAACAAACGCTATATTTATTCGCTACATCAATTTAAAAAATATTTATTAGTTATATCCGGTTAAAATAATTGGTGACTTTTTTAGGTACCTATCGGGAGAGCAAGAAAAGGACAAAGTCAACTAAACTACGGGCCAGCGCAAACCGACAGACGGCGGGAGAGCCTCGAAAAGGATGACGAGAGATATCCCTTATGATACCGCTGATCGTCCGCCAGCGTATCGCAGAGACCGCTGGAATATCGCGGCATCTGCCGACATGCCACCGGTCCGCTTAGATTTGATTTACGCAGTCGAAGTTTCCGCGGTGCATTCAGACAGACTCCGGCGCACACCGGTGGATACAGGTTGTCAACCGGCGCCCACCGCTGCGGTAGCCTCTCTTCAATAATAATGATAATAACGCACACACTCATAATATCATCCTATCACACTCATAGGGAAACCCTGTGTCGCGGGTGCCATGACCACACATATAGACAACCAAAAATTACACCCACACTCACGAGAGAAATAAATGTAGGTAATACAAATATTTCTCCTGGCCCGGGAATCAAACCCTGGACCTCTGCGTGGCAGACCAGCATGGTAATCTTTCGAATTCAGAGATAGTTAAACAACAAGAGACTTAAAACAGCTAAAATACCTCAAAGAGAATTAAAGCTGAGATATTCCGAGGTCGGTCTCAGACCATTGAAATTTATACCTTATTTGAATTTAAATAACACAAAAATATATTTAATAAATTTAATGTCTTCTGCCTTCCCGTCCGCCAGTTTGTGCTGGTCCTACATCAATTGAACCAGAAAATTGCCTGTACTATAAGCTCCAGAGCAACGGGATTCACATACATAACACCCAGACCAGGCGGCCTACCATAACCTCTTAAAACAATATTACTTTAACCTTATATTGACTTTTCGTACCATAACGCACTTAAAGTAAGTTTATTGTATTTTTTAGTTAAAACTATGATGTTGTATTGGCAGCTTTGTGAAAATTCATTCACTCAGTTCGTACTATGACGTGACTTTAACATAAAGTAATATTGCTCTTATGTCAAATTTAGCAATCTTAAAATGGATGGAACACGGATGCAATGGAAACAATATTATTTTCAGTTTTATTGTCTTAATAATTTGTGATGATTAAAAGTTAAGTTGAACTTATTTATTTACATATATCTCTTCAATATTTTGTTTTTTTTTTATTTAATAGCACATAGTTAATAATTTTTCGTTAAATAAAAATACGCGATGTTTATTTCGTAAAGTTATAACAGCGCCATCTATATGCTTCTTGGCGAAACTAACAGTTGACACTAGACTATGGTTCCGAATTCACAATGTGACTATCAAGACTCAGCTTGTTTTATTTATTTTTCGTCATGAAAATGCGGAATAATTATTGAAAACAACGTAATTTTAATAGATTTTATTATTACATACTTTTCTTTTAACAGTCAAAATTCTTTGAATGTAAATAACATTAAGTACTTTAACATTAAACTACGATAACACAATTCTGAATATCAAAAAGAAAGAAATGGCATTATACAGTTCATATAGCGTTATTTCTTTCCTACTTTTAGTAAGGAATATACAATATTGGGAAATCGTTCGTTCTTTCAGTCACTTTAGCAATAATACATTACCTGGTTGATAGGTTTATCATGGTATGAAAATGAGTAATATTACAATAAGCTTACTTCATGCTTACATTGAAATAAGGTTGTTTTTGGAAAGGTTATGTTAGGCCCCTAAGCAAATTTCACAAAGTAAACCGTTGGCCCTCCGATATTGTCGTTGACCCAACATAATAAGTGAATAAAATTAATTAACGATACAACCGTGAAGTTTCGTAACCCTCGAATAATAGTAAGCATGGACTTTAGTAGCAAATAGTACGAGTATACTGTGCGATTCCTTACTGATATGAAATTTCATTGACACATCTGTTATTTTTCGAATTCACTTAGAAAGAAAAACGTACAAAAAAAATGTATTTACACCACCAAACCCACACTGTATGCAGTAACTGTATGCATCCACGCACCATATTTTATGAGACTAGAGCGAAAAGGGTGAATGACATTTTTCATGAGGGGCCTAAAGTAAAAGCCAGTCCATGCTTGCGTTGTGCTAGGCGCGTCGACACTTTATTTTTTAACGGCAAAATTGTAATACACAATCGCCTGCAACATCTTGTGTACTTTCATAATCCAATTCAATTTTTATAGGAACAGGTAATTTAAATCATAAAACATTTAACATAAGTGCATACTGGCAAATATTTAATGCACAATAAATATAAACTAACAGTTCATAGAACAGTTACGGAGATTATTTAAATGCAATCTCTCTACGGGTACAGATATTAGAGGTGACTGTACAATTAAAATGTAATGCTATTTATAAAATTTTATACTGGATGAAAGTTTCTTTTGTTATCTCCACTTACTGTGTGTGTAGAATGTAAAGTTCTTTAACACACTATCTATCTATTTCTGAATATACTAACCGCATTCGCCTTCATGCTTGACGCGTAAGTTGAGGCGTCGTTCGCAAGCTTCCTTGCGCAAGTAGCAGTGGTTGCGGTAAGTGCGGCCTGAGGTGGAACATACGGGCGCTGCCGATGTCGGACAGCTAGTTGGGCACGCACAATGCGCCCGTCCATCCCCCAGCGACACGCACTCCGCCCCCCATCGGCAGAACGTCTTCTCGCAAGCCTCTGAAAACGCACAACTCATCCAGTATTCACGTCATGCAAGGATAAAGAAAATAAATATTTAACATAGTATGAATAGCGCTAATACAAAACTCTTCGGATGTAAAAAGTCTTTGAGCGAAACGTGACTCCCTGGAAAATTCCACGAAGAATGACACAATTTCCAATTTTCTACCTGGGGACTCGGAGCCGTGACTAAATTATTAAGGGGGAGTAAAATAAGATGCGAACATCCGCTTTGCCACAGCATTGTGTTAGCAGGCTTCGGGAATTGCCGATCTCTATCGTCTAGTTAAAATTCTGTGCAGAATTTGTCGAGCTCGAAGTCACACAGTGGTTTGACAAAAGTTAATTTACAATTTTCTTCTCAATTTCAAAGTTACAAGTGCCTCCCATCGCAGACAAACAAGGCTTTTGTATTAGACAAAAAGTGTTATGATTTGTACGTTTATTATTTTCTTTAAACGCTACTTAGTAGGGTTATAAAATTAGGTATTGGAAGTGAAACTATTTTTCGGGCCTAAATTACGTATAAGTATTCAAATTTCGGGCTTTTTGATGAGTCTGCCGTGAGCATGGAGCATCTGTAATGATTCCGAAACGTTGGTTTTGTTCGAATAAACAAATTCACGCAATTTAGATCCGAAAAAACATCATCTCCAGTGTGTAACAATCGCGAAAATCGAAGAACTCGTCAGAGTTCGGTACTTAGATATTTCTAAGTAAGTAAGTAAGAGACTTTTATATAAGAAATATTTTAAGCTATCAAGTTTATTTTTTCATTTTAAGATATTTTAGTTAATAAGTTACTTCGACCGATCAATAAGGTAAGAAATAATTAGGGGTGATAATTCTGATAGCATGAATGTTACAAATTTGACGAAAAAACGCTCTAAGAAAAAAAAGCTCTTTGTCAAAATTTACAAAATTAAAGAATTCATTTTTGTCAAAATTTTAATTTATGTTCATTAATGAGGGACAATAGTAAGGAAACCCTTCTATAATAGTTAAAAAAACAGCTGTCGAGTAGGTAGGTATTATCATTTAGGTGAAACAGTAATTTAATTGTAGTCCTCGAGTTAGTCGTGTATGTGGATGGGTAGAATCACCCATAAAAGTAATTAAAATAAAAAAGTCACACTGTACATTGATATCAAGTCCGTTATATGCATAAAACATTTTGAAAAATGTGCGATTAGAGCGTTCTTTAATTTTCCGCTTACCTCCAACACATTCAATCTGATCACATATGCGGCCAAGTAAGGGAGGGATCGACTGGAAAAAAAGGTTTCGGGCGCAACGAGTTTTACGGTATAATCGGAGCCTTCTCAAAATAAACTTTACTTTACTTCAAATAAAGTTGTAACCTTATAAATAAATTTTACCGCGTGGTCTCGTTGCTGATTATTATTTAAAAACTAATTCGATATACCTCAATAACAATAGAACAGTATTAATTTTAACAAATATCCCAGTACCTGAAGCCAGAGAAGGACAAATTGTTTTTATTATTTTTATTTCTTCAAGAAAGATCAAGTGTCAGGATTCAACAACGGACTCATTTCCTTGACTTTTGTACAAAAGCCTTAGACGAATCCGCTTAAGGAAAGAAAGCACCCGGAAATAACAATTTCGTAAGAAACAAACAAAATGTTAGAACGCGAATCGTTGTAGGAGAGGCCGAGATAAATGGAGACAGGAGGGGAGATAAAAATGATGGCGGATGCTCCGTGAATGGAAGAAAATTAGGAAATTCACCGCGGCGCTTTTTCAGGCCCGCGCGAGCTGCTTAAATAATCTTCCGTCTATTTTTGAATATAAAATCTTACTTAACGTCACGAATTTCAAAGAACTTATTTATTTTCGAACTTGGAAATAAAGCTGTAGACAGTCATCACAGTGCTTTATCATAATTAATTTTAGATCTCAAATAATATGAAATCTACTAATCTTATTTCTACTTCGAACTATGTCCCGAACATTAGACAAAAGGTAATGAATATTTCAAAATGTGAACGAACTACGCATAAAAACTACGCAATAAAAACGCAAAATAATAATTCAATGTTAAAGCTTATTTGCCGTCGGATATTTTCAAAGGAATAAGCCAGAAATTATGTCACAACAGACGTACGAATTCGACTTCTGAATACGAGCAATGTCTGGGTCCGTATCAGAAATATTAGAACCGGTTTACCTGTCATCCCCATATCGATTTTAGTTACCTAAATCATACATAAACGTATATTTAATTTTAAATGTTTTTACATCACTTTTTTTTGTACGTTGAAAAGTTTCAAAAGATATATATATAGGTATCAATTTCACATTAAAAAAATATGTACGTAAATTACATTTTGTATACAATACAATATAGTGCAATACAATTTCGTTTAACATAAAGATATTAATGTGTATCGTATTATATCTGACACCCCATAAATATATCGAATCCGGCACAGCTTTACCTGTAGTTCCCCTCTGCCGCCAAATGTCCTTCCAAACTCACACAAAGCAATTTTGTTGGCTGTAGGCTAGGCATGTTACCCATATATAGACATACATTGTGCATAGACCGAGATAAGCTTCGCAGGTACTTTTGGGATCGTACTACCTTTAGTTTGTGTTACCTTTATCTCACCTAACACAATATTATGGGTGAGCCGGGCCGTTCTGGGATTAATTTAATTTCATAGTTTCCCTTACATACCTATTTGAGAGTTTATTAACTGGTAAATCTCTCGAGTTGGCATAGGTGAGTAAGAATTATGGGACTACTTGTTGATATTTGACGTTATCGTTCGAACTTTGTTTCTTTACTGATGAATGATAGATTGTTGTTTCTTCACTCGTAACATTACAGGATTTGCTAAAGAAATTCGAGTGTTATGTTACAGAAGCCGTAATTCCAGCAGAATTAGCGTAATTCATTCAGTTGATATTTATTTCTGGAATAGAAACTTTAAGGTCATTACCCATGTAACGGCGTAGCACTAGATTAGTACTGCCACAACTTAAAATGGAGCATCGAAAAAAGAACGTAACATTTTGTGTAAAATAGTGGACAGTCCGTCGCCGCAAGTGCGGTATCGTCTAATCTAATCTTGGTATCGTAAAATTCAGTGTATGTCCCACAACTTTAAGTCCGCTTTTTTTGAGGCAAGCCATTTTTTACTGTTCCGGTCCTGAGGCGATAAATTGACGATAATCTTCAAGCTGACTCCTAGGAGAGCAGTGCCGTCATCAACGACCACAAAATAGGAATGAATGACGGCCCTCATGCGAATTGAATTCTATAACGATCACGAACGGTCTCTAGGAAACCACACCAAATAATTTATATAGACATCGTTTTTGTGACGTCCTCCACAGCCATTATGGCGGTAATGGCGGTACTCTCTTGGAAACCTAAAGCTTTATACAATAGGTAATCAGAAAAGAGAATTAAGGAGAAACCACATTTATATGTGCATAGCTACTTATTTTTGTCGTCATTTGTTTCTAGTCCCGTTTTTAGGGAAATGATAGCGAAGAGCTTCAAAAATAAGATTTGTAATTACGAACTCCAAAAGAATATACATTTACGAAAAACGTATACAAAGAAATAACTCTTGTCTATAATGAAAACATTACTTACCTTCAGGGGCAGGAGGTCGGGGTTGATAATGTAAATCTGTAACAAATAGAAAATTATATACTTTATTTATTTAGGTCAACAAACAGTACACATAATTAAAAACTAATTTGCTTACAGTAACTATGTAATGATTGTGTCATCAATATGTACCGTTAACCACTAATTACTACAATACAACTGAAAAGTGGTGATGCACATCAATAATAAGCAACTAAGGAAAACAAGTAACTAATAATAGTTATAATGTATTATTATTTGAACCTTTATGTATAAAATAAGTAAAGAAACGCAGAAAACTAAGTTCCGCGTCTACAAAACTAGACCGATCTTGATGTTGCGAGGTTTGGACACTCACCTTGAAAAACGAAAATAGTTGTTAAGTGGCAGAAAAGAAAAATCTCGTGGAAGATTCTGGGACCGATTCAAAGCGAGAGTGGAAGCTGGAGTAGGCTCAGTACTCAGGCGTCTCGGAGAATCTGGTGTCAGAGGCCAAGACCCACTTTGGGTCACCGTGCCACCAAAGTAAATAAGTTACTTATACTTAAAATAAGGCATATTATTTTCAATTGCCTGTGAAGTATCATTTTGTTATTGATGTACTAACGAAATTTAAAGCTATCCAATATTGTTTTATAGGTAAAATAACCAATACCTATTTTAGAATACGCAGAAATACGAAAACATTAGATCACGTACCATTTTGCTTGCCCTGCTGGACCGTACCGTTTCCATACGAATACTGAAAATATTTGTACTGTAAACCGAATGCAGCGTTGCATCTTTATGCTAAACACGTCGGAGCAACGTGCATTGTAAGCGAGGTAAAGCATAAGCAAAAGCAAATACATTCGCCTACTGCTACCGAGCTCCTCTTTCTAAATATCATTTTCTGTATTATACAGGAATTTTATGACGTCACTTTATTGTTACATTATTGTATCAAATAGAAGAAACTGAATAGGGGAGATTGTTCCAAAGCTATGTAATGGTAGTATAAGAGCAAACCATTTTAGACCGGGTATAAAATAAGCTATTTGGTGCCAACATATTTATTTAAGGTTTTTGCTGAACACTTAATTGAAAACAAATGTGAAATTAAATACAATCATTAATTTTTTTTTTATTCAAGATCAAAGCTACGCATTTGTTATTCAGTCTTGACTTTATATTATGAGTTCTGTATCGATACGGTTAAATGTGAAAATTGCTATTAAAGTCAATTTTCATTGTCAAAGGGAAATGTAAATACAAAGTAAGAAAATATTGATGATAGTTAAAATTTACTGTTTTGTTTTTGATGCTGATAGGCTTAGTATCGTCGTGTGTTCGTCGTCGTCGTCGTTTTTTCATATAAAATGTGATTCGTTTTGTGTGAAAAAACATTTTATTAAATTTGCTCAAATTTTGCTACCCAGATTTTTTCTTCCAATACAAACTGAATCAATCAGCACTAAAAAAACAATAATCAATTTTAATTATTTTTGTGGATGACACACGCTTGACCAAAAATTCACTATGTCAAAATTGTTTCCAGAAAAAATACTTAATTGTTCCTCTTATTTCCTATGGTTTCGGATTTCCCCATACTGTCTCAGTTAAAAAAACACTCTGTATATTATTGGCCTGTAAAATCTACAAATGGATTAAACATGACCACTCGTTCTTTATTTCGTGCAAGAGGTTCTATATTGCATTGCTATCTCAAAAGGTCGCGCTACGAATCTTGACGTCACCCAGCAGCTGTCTGGCTTTTAAAGAAATATACCTTACTGGCAAGAAGCTAAGTTACACTGCGCATTACCTGTGGCGGCACAAACTGTCGACGACAGGATGCGCTGCGATGCGCTGTGATGCTCTACAGTTTTGCTCTTAGGACTTATGGAGACGACGAGTCAGCATGGTAGGTAAAGTTGTATCAAACGATGCTGCTAATTCTTCTAGAATTGGCGATAATTAATTTCATTAATAGCTCACAACTCATTGCAATTCATTTTAAGCTCCGGACATCCAAAAATTACAATTTCCACTATGGAATCAGTCATATGGAATCAACCAAAACGCTCTATTAACTCGTATATAAAATATATGTTAACTTTATCAATCTTCATGTTTAATTTCAGAGAATGCAAAATTAACCAAAACAAATGAATAAATTTCTTTTTTTTTATTTGGAAGTCATATATGATTGTATTTAAATGAGTTTGTGATCTAAATTACACTAAAAAGATTTTATATTATTTCAAATGGGCCAGAACTTTAGAACGGGACTTAATTACAGGGACAAACATGAGTCTATGTAGGATTTTTACAACTCTTATTTCATCATAAACATTGTGTTGCATTAAAAAACAATTAGAAACTATTCCGAGAATTAGGATTTATATAATAACCTATTTCGGTTGAAAAATATATAGCGCCTTTGTGTACATATGGGTTGTCGGTTCACAACAAAGCGGATAAAGTACGTGTAAATGTGTTATAGTTGATACTACAGGTTATAAGTCTGTTATTGACGCATTATCAACATCAGACACTACAAAGAAATAAATTGAATACCAGCGGTCATGTTACGCAAACATAGAAAAAGGAGAACGTTTACGAAATGGTAAAACTTTACGTCATTTTTGACAATAATACTTCAAGTATCTATTCTTACAAGGTACTGTGAAAATACGAAAGGGACCGGGGATTACGTAATATCGTTAGGACATGCCGAAACATTCAAAAGGAAAAGGGAAAAAATGGAGGATTGAATAGAAGACATATTTTTGATAATGTGAATAAACAAACTTTTTACTTTATTTGCCCTTTGATTACTTTTTAAATAAGTGTTGTATAAACATGAATAACATAACACGTGACGTATTGTCTAAAATTGTAAAATTGTAAATCACAATGGACATAATTAATATGTGAAGTGATTCAAACCCAGACAATATTATCCCTATGATAACGTAAACGCCCAGTGCCCATTATAAAACAAAATATTGCATTAACATTTAGCGCTATATATTCTGACCATACGATATCTAGAAATTATTTTGTATATTCATACAAAACACAGGACATACTTGCTTAGGTATGAAGCATATAATTATATTTAGTACATTGTCATGTACAGGCGTGTAGCGATTTTCCAATTGCAGGTTGTTGGGCCTGAGGAGGTTAATTAATTTTTTGAAACGGTTCTTGACGCCTGGTGCCCGATTACACAACTTTCTCAGTCGTTTCCTCACTGCTGAGAATTGCCGCTCCATTTCATTCTACTAATCATTTGTCTCCATCGATTACGTTCAGTCGCAAGGTGGAGTGCGGAGCTGAGGTAGCTTCAGTTGTTCGGAGTTCTGAAAGACCATCGTTATCTCTACATGTGAAACGTGACAGTAAGAATTTTGGACAACCGAAATCAGCCCTATGTAATTTAAATCATTATTCGTAATCAATTTATTTAAACCTGTAAGTCATTTGGTGACTCGGTTGCTGGAAACTTAATTGCCCAAAAAGTATATGTAATCGTAACCGACATAATACAGTAATGACAAGAAAAAACTAATGTTAAATAGTAATTTTTGTGGCATTCTTTCTTGTGAAAAAGTTCCTCCTGGGAAGTATTATAACGAACACACTCAATATAGCCCCGCACTAGGGAAACCCTGTGTCGCGGGTGCCATGGACACACACATAGACAACCACAAATTACACCCAAACTCACGAGAGAAATAAATGTAGACCATACAAATATTTCTCCCGGCCCGGGAATCGAACCTGGGGCCTCTGCGTGGCAGTCCGGCAAGTATTGCCACCTTACTCATTGGTTTTAAAGGGTCAGTGTGTTATATCTGTCAACTTATGGTAGGGTGATGAGCGCTGCGGCTGTGCCACTGAGATCTTTGCAATTTAAAGCTCTAAGCGACATTGCAATTGTTATAGACAGGGGTGTCGCTTACCATCAAGCACAAGACTTGCTCATTCCGTTACTTGGCATCATAAAAAGTTGAATATTGCTAAAAAAATTCAAAAATATCTATATTTCACACGTAAGCAAATTAGACTTGAAATCTTCACACTGATTAAACTCTCATTCTTAAGTCAGATTCCTCTGTGAAGAATAGATAAGAAACTCTAAGAGTGGCTCTTTGTAAATAGAAGTTAGTAGACATGTCAATTTACAACGAAATCATAGATTTCTCAGAGGTGGCGCTACGGCAAGCCATTTCAGCCCTATACAAAGATTTGCAACAAGCATAAATACAATAGAAGTGCTTAGTTTGCGTGTCACGTGTGCCTACAGTTCGTGAAATGCTTGAACTCATCCGTCATATTTGCTTGTTTTATGGTCATGTCAATTATTTCGCGGAAAACACCGAAAATCGAAAAAAATGCTTTATTTCGCAACTTTGAAATACGAACAAGATGCACTCACTCGCACTTGTAATATTATGTATGGTTGTGTGTCGTATCATCATATGTCTTATTTTATTAAATATTAATACATTTTCAATATTCTGTTTATTGTAATAATGGTATGTTACGAGATACGAAAGTAAACCTTATATCGCTGAAATATGGACGCTTCTTTTTTGGAGATTCTTCCTCTTTTTCATCCGTGTTCAACACCATCAAAACCCATTATTGTAAGTTACGTGGTTATAATTTTATGTTGAAATTTCAATCAATCTGCTACCATCTGGCTATTAAATTACTGAACGACGACGAATTGGAGATATTTATTTAGTACTCCAAAAAGAAGCGACCATATTGCAGCGGTATAAGGTTTACTTTCGTATCTTGTAACAAAACATTATTACAATAAACAGAACAGAAAATGATTATTACAATCAGAACATTGAAAATTTATTAAAATTAAATAAAATAAGACTTAATGATGATACGAAACACCACCGTAGATATTATTACAAGTGCGATGAACATATTCGCACTTCAAAGTAGCGAAATAAGGCATATTTTTTCGATTTTCAAGGTTTTGCGTGAGATAATTGACACAACCATAATGGACAAAGCATGGCGAACAGAGC